GGCGCACAACAAGTGGTATCAGAGCTCCAGGTTGGATTTGGGAGTTTTGTTCGAAGGATTCACTGTTGGGTTCTTGTTTGAAGGGTAGATCTACAATATGGTTGAAACAAGCAATGCTAGTTCAAGTGCTACTAGTACATCGGGGTCGGCTTTAACAAAGGCGATCTAAAATTTGAGCATCAATAACACTAAAATTGATGTCCCAAAGTTCGACGGCAAGATTAACTTTGGTTTATGGAGGTGTCAAGTAATGGACGCCTTAGATGCACAAAATTTAGAGGAGACTCTTGAGTTTCAAGAGAAACCCGAGGAGATTGATGATAGGGTTTGGAAGAAAATGAATAATAGGGCTTGTGGGGTTATTCGGTCATGCCTAACGCCGGATCTCATTTATGATGTGATGAACGAGACGTCGGCAAAGAGATTGTGGGAAACGCTCAATGAAAAATATTTGACAAAGAGCATTGAGAATAGGCTTCATTTGAAGAAAATGTTCTACCAATTCAAGATGAAGAGAGGAGTTTCCATTCGAGAGCATGTTAACAACTTCACAAAGCTAATTTCGGATATGGCCAATGTTGATATCATGGTGGAGGATGAAGATAAGGCGATGTTATTATTGTGTTCGTTGCCGGATGATGAATTTAGTACTTTTGTTCTCACTATGATTAATGGGCGAACTACAGTTAGCTACAAGGAGGTGACCTCGGTATTGGTGAATTATGAGCTGAGGAAGAATGATTGTGAGCCTTCCGAGAAGGCATCGGGTGATGCACTTGCAGTTCGTGGCCGTAGTCCAAACCGCCAAAAGTTCAACCGCTCAAAATCAAAGAATAGGGGTGGCCATAAAAGTGTTGGTAGAAATTAATGTGCCTTTTGCAAAGAAGAGGGACATTGGAAGAATGAGTGGCCAAAGTTGAAAGATAGACCCGGAAAGCAAAGGAGGAAAGCGGTACAAGCTTCGGAGGTGAATGTTGCTAAGGTTGTTGGCGGCGTTTCAGATTCAGATTCTTCCGGTTATTCTTGTCCCGCACTGCCGTCAGTTTGTTATGCCGACTCTACGGAGTGGATGCTTGATTCGGGAGTTACATTTCATATTTGCCCTAAGAGGGATTGGTTTACCAACTTTGAGGAGTTGAAGAGAGGAGACGTGGTGCTCATGGGGAACGATCACGTTTGTCCTATTAGTGGGATTGGCTCAGTCAGAATCAGAATGCATGACGGGGTGACTAGGGAATTGAAAGATGTGAGGTTCGTGCCGCAGTTGACGAAGAACCTCATTTCTCTTGGGACTTTGGAGGCATCCGGTTATAGAGTGATCTTAGAAGATGCTAGTTTGAAGGTCATGAAGGGTTCTATGGTGGTGATGCGAGGTGTCAGGGAAAACAACTTATACTACTTGAAGGGCAAGACAGTTACAGGGGGTCTGGCAGCTTCTATTACCACAGAGGAGGACACTACCACACTATGGCACATGAGGCTTGGACACACAGGTGAAAAGTCCCTTCAGTCATTGGCAAAACAGGGGCTATTGAAAGGTGCAAAGACCTGCAAGATGGATATGTGTGAGCATTGCATACTTGGGAAGAAGACTAAAGTGAAGTTTGGCACCGCAATTCACAACACCCAAGGTATATTAGACTACATTCATACAGATGTTTGGGGCCCTTCTAAGCACACATCGCTTGGTGGGGCAAACTATTTCGTCACTTTCATTGATGATTATTCCAGGAGGAATTGGGTATATACCATGAAGCATAAACATGAGGTCCTGGATATATTTGTGGAGTGGAAGAAGAAAGTGGAGCTGCAGACAGGTAGAAAGGTGAAGACTCTTCGTTCAGACAATGGTGGAGAGTATAAGAGTGATCCATTTCTGCAGTTTTGCCGGGATCACGGCATTAGAAGACACTTCACAGTTAGAGAGACACCGTAACAGAATGGGGTGGCAGAGAGGCTGAACCGTACCTTGCTGGAGAAGGTACGATGTATGATGACGCAGAGTGGATTGGCTAGATCTTTTTGGGCCGATGCGTTAGTTTATGCGAGCCATCTCATTAACAGGTTGCCGTGCACTGCGATAGAGGGGAAAACTCCTTTGGAGCGTTGGTCTGGTTCTGTGGCTAGTGATTATGAGACTCTTCAGATTTTTGGGTGTCCAGCTTATTTCCATGTTAGTGATGGGAAGTTGAATCCGAGAGCGAGGAAGGCTATCTTTGTGGGATTTTAAGAAGGTGTAAAAGGCTTCAAGTTATGGGATCCACAAGATAAGAAGATGATCATTAGCAGAGATGTCACATTCGATGAGGCAAGATGACAGTCGGGCATTTGGAGGATACAGTGGATGGTGAGGCTCAGGAGCAGGGTCATGCTCAGGGGTCCATTGCAGCAGATAGACCGAGGAGAGAGATTCGTCGGCCAGCTAGATATGATGATGTCATGGTGGCATATGCTTTATCGGTGGAGGTCGTTGATGATTTGATTCCTGCCACATTCAGGGAGGCAGAGTCCAGCTCTGATTCCGTTAGGTGGAGGAATGCTATGGAGGAGGAGATGCAATCTCTTCAGAAGAACGACACTTGGGAACTTGCACAGCTACCTAAGGGTAAGAAAGCTATTGGTTGCAAGTGGGTGTATGCTAAGAAGGAGGGATCTTCTATTGGGGACATTCGGTTCAAGGCCAGATTGGTTGCCATGGGATATGCACAGCTTGAGGGCGTTGATTACAACGAGGTATTTTCACCCGTTGTGAAGCATTCGTCGATTCGGATACTATTGGCATTGGTGGCATAGCTGGACTTAGATTTGGTCTAAATGGACGTGAAGACGGCCTTTCTACATGGAGACCTAGATGAGGAGATCTACATGACACAACCTATGGGGTTTAAAGCTGCAGGAAGAGAAGATTTGGTGTGCAAATTGAAGAAATCTCTTTATGGACTGAAGCAATCACCGCGACAGTGGTACAAGAGATTTGATAGCTTTATGATTGGCCGAGGATACACGAGGAGCCCTTATGACCCGTGTGTTTATATGCGCAAGCTACAGGATGGTGAGCACATTTATTTGTTATTGTATGTTGATGATATGCTCATAGCTTCCAGGAACACTTCAGCTATTGGGAAATTGAAAAAGGAGCTGTCATCTGAATTTGAGATGAAGGACCTGGGAGAGGCTAAGAAGATATTGGGTATGGAGATTGAGAGAGACAGGGTGAAGGGGAGATTGAAGCTTACACAGAAGAGTTACTTGCAGAAGATGCTGAAGAAATTCAGCTTTGAGGGTAATACCAAGGTGGTGAGTACTCCATTAGCTCCCCACTTTAAGCTTTCAGCTTTGATGTCACCAGTTTCAGTGGAGGATAGGGACTACATGTCCAAGGTTCCATATGCCAGTGCAGTGGGTAGCTTGATGTATGCTATAGTGTGTACTAGGCCAGATTTGTCACAGGCCGTGAGCATGGTAGCTAGGTACATGCACAACCCCGGGAAGGGGCATTGGGAGGCCGTGAAGTGGATTCTACGGTATATTAAGGGTACCGTGGATGTTGGGTTGATATTTGCGAAGAATGATGAGACAGGGCAGGATTGTATTGGCTACGTGGATTCAGACTATGCCGGAGATCTTGACAAGTGTCGGTCCACTACAGGTTATGTTTTTACATTGGCTAGTGCACCGGTGTGTTGGAGCTGTACTCTTCAGTCTACGGTGGCGCTCTCTACTACGGAGGCGGAATATATGACGGTGACTGAAGCAGTAAAGGAGGCTTTGTGGCTACATGGCTTGTTGGATGATTTGGGGATTGCACAGGAGACCATTCAGGTACATTGTGATAGTATGTCAGCTATCTATTTGGCTAAGAACCAAGTCTACCATGCACGCACGAAGCACATTGATGTCAGATTTCACTTTGTACGTGATGTATTGGATGATGGTGATGTCACGTTGGAGAAGGTCCACACTAAGGACAATCCTGCTGATATGTTGACCAAAGTCGTGCCAGGTGTGAAGTTTGGTCACTGTTTGAAATTGTTGAATATTCTTCATTGTTGAGGCCGTTGGCGGTCATTTGGATGAACTACGTTCGGCTTGATTCCTTGGGCAAGAGGATACGTAGGCAGTCTTGCAGATGCAGCCGGTTGGAGTTGATTGGGGGTGCTTTGATGTCAGCTCAGTTTTGGCAAACGCTCGCCGAGGTGGAGATTTGTGGAACTAGCAGCAGAGGGAGGTTGACAGGTGAAGATTCAGGCAAACAGGGCGGCGGTCGACCGGTCCGGTCGACCGCATTCGTGCACAAGACTCACTGGGCTTCAGCATTGGTGTCGGTCGACCGGGTCGGTCGACCGACGTACTCTCTGGATTTTTGGTTGGCTTCTGGATGGAGGGCGGTCGACCGGTCCGGTCGACCGACATGGATCGCGGTCGACCGGTCCGGTCGACCGACGCTGCAGATTCGGGCTGGGTTCTGTTTTCAGACCCGTTTCGTTTGTGAGTTGTATTTAAAACCCTAAACTCGTTTCTAGGGTTGAGTGGGGGCGATTTTGAGCTGCTGAGAGAGGATTAAGAGGGCTTCTTTTGTTGGAGTCTATTGGAGAGATCAAGTGATCTTATTTAAGGGTTTTGGGTAAGATTAATTTGTAACCCTAATTTGTATTCCCCTTTGATTTCATTAGTAAAGCTTCCCCCTCCTTGCCTCGTGGACGTAGGCACATTGCCGAACCACGTATATCTTGTGTTCTTGCTGTGATTGGTAGCTTGTGATCTCTTGTGGTCTACTATTGTTCTTGTGTGTGCTTTTGATTTGTCTATTTTGGGGCTTCCGCGGCACACAACAGGTATATGTTTTGAATTGACTCAAAATTTTTAACTAATACGTGGTCAACGCTACCTAACGACCCTTTTAGCCGAAAGAATGTGAATCTCTCCTCCATTATCTTTGTTTACTGGTCACCTTCGACGACATGTCGCTCTCGGAGCATCTAATTAACTTAGGATCGACA